TGTATCTTTACATTCGGTTTACTGATGTCAACGACACATTCTCTAATCTCTGCACCCCCTACACATTCACATGCAGGATGAGTGTAAGTTTGGGAATGCCTTCAAGGGCAAGAGGACATATTAAATTATTTAGAAGCATTACAGTGGCTTTTAATCACGTTAGTTAGAGATATGATTTAACTTTTCAAGTAGCCTTGGCTGTTTCGTTCTCCACTCCCTTTTCAAATAGTAAAATAAATAAGAGCCAGTAACCCAAGGGCAGGAAATCAGTGTTGCCCAGGAAGTAATGTGTTCTTTCTAACTAGATCTGCTGTTATTACTTCCTTCGTAGTATGTCTCTTTTGAGTCAACAACCATTCCTCTCACTGGTCCTTACCTGCCTTAAGGGACAAGATGAACAACGGGAAGGCCTCCTAACATCTCTGCAGAATCAAGTTAATCAGGTAAAGTGCAGGAGAATATTGAGCCAGACAAGTATTTTTCTAATGGCATCCATTTGTTCTCCTTTCAGATACTGAGATTAAACTCATAAGGGCCCAACAGGTTTTGATTAGATGCAGGAAACATAGTCCATATCCTGTCTCCTGCCTGGCATTCTGGTCACCAGGAGATGAACAACAGTGTCATATTAATTATGCATTGGATGAGTGCCTGTAGACTATAGAAGTAACGTCTGCATACTGCTCATAACTTTGTCGTCTCCGCTCCTCTCCCGACCCCGCCTCCTGGGAGAGGTGCTGGAGCAAGCTGTGTCGCAGGAGGCATGACCGTGAGACAGACAGACCTCTCCAGGTCCTCAGCTGAGTTTCCACGTAGCAGGCAGGGTCTGAGCTTGAGCTCTGTAGCTTCAGAAACTCAGTTTTACTGCCAGAGCCAAACGGATGCTGGTCCAGTGCACAAGGCACTCATTTACAAATCAGAAGTCATTTTGGTTCATTTATAGAGAATCTGAACTTGGCTTTTCCACCAACCGCAGTTCTCCTAGTCACTCTTTGGGGCACTTGTTTTCAGTGCACCACAAAGAAACTGAGTGATCAAATTGGAATTAGAAAGTATAGAATTGAGCAAAGTGGATAGGGTGGTCCTGTGGGGTGTTTAATCCTGCTGTAGAGCCCAGTGGAGTGTCCTGTGGGGCTGTGGTTCCATGACATTGTGTCTTCTTGAGTGGTCCTGGATGAACACGAACAAGTCACTTGGTCCTCTCGTCATCTCCTACCTTTTGGCGATGTGAGATCTGCTCTCTACACAGCAGCCAGAGGGATCCTTTATAAGTGTAAACCACATATTCTTCCAGTACTCAGAATGCTGCAGTGTTTCTTACTAAACTAGAATAGAAGTTCACAGTCTGGGCGTATAAGGCCCTGCATGATTTGGCACTGGCTCCCACCTCTGCCTTGTTTCCTGCCGGTCATGGCCTTGCCCACTCCATTCTTTTCACAGTGTCCGTGTTGCTGTTCCTTGGACTTGCCAAGCACATTCTTGTTACAGAGGCTTTGCGTCTTTCCTTCCCTTCCCTGGAAGGCTGTTCCTAGTGATTGGCATGGCCACCTCCGTCACCTCCACAGGTCTCTCTCTGCTCAGATATCACCTCCTTAGCCGCTCCCTGACCTCCACTCCATCACTCTCTAAAAGTCAGACCACAGTCATTATCTAGCCCCCTGCCCTGATTGATACCACATGTTCCAAACTTATTTTTGTCTCGCTGCCAGAATGTCAGCTGCATGACACCCTGTGACAGCCTGTGTGTTTTGTTAAACTGCCTTGCACCTTTCACCTGCCTTAGGGAAGGTCCATCCGTACCTTCTGATGCGATTTGCAAAGTTCTTTCCTTTAACTGTGCAGTGCACTTACAAGTCATCTGTTGGGCTCAGTTACTTCTGCATGTGACTCATTTCAGCTCTTTTATGATGATTCCCATTAGGGAGCCATATTTCAAAGCATGGCAGTGTGGTTTTTTTTTTTTTCCTTATGTCATCTGATTCTGGGTGTTCCCTTCTTGTGGTTTGCCTTCCTAAGCAAACCTTCCCTTCCCCAACATTAGTCTGACTCAGTGAGGAAGCACTTTCTTAATAGATTGATATGCCTTTCAACTGATGCCCAAGATGTCACATTTTTCAAAATAGCTTACGTTATCCTTATCAAGAAAGACAAGTCTATAAGGTAACGAGCCTCCCTTCAATGAAATATCAAAATAATACATTCGCTAGGATTCACAGCATGTCCCTAGAAATATAAGACAATATAAAATGTAATTTTATCTATCTTTAGCTTTATACTTACCTTTATAAGACCAGTGAAATGATATATTAAAAATTTTTTTTGCCTTTTTCCGTTTTATTAGGTAGAATTATTATAGTTTGACTGCACATATACATTATATTGCATGTACATACATATATATAATATACTGCAACTTTTTTTTTAGTTTACATGTATGTACTAATCGTTGTTTCTAAGAACAGATTAAAGCTTTAGCTTTTTAAACTTACATAATTATCAAAGGAATAAAGTACCTTAATTTTTGTTAATGCTTAACTTGATGGCCCCCTAAAGGAATTTCTAGGACTTAGTAACAGGATATATAATTAGATAAGATTTTTCTGAACTGGATATGTAATTAGATAACAAAGAAATAACCAGATTTCTATCTGCTTGGAGGAAGGGGAGGAAAGCTCAAATTTTATTTTTCCCTTATTTATCTGTTAAGAAGTTGTTTTTGACTATCAGTAAAAAGCTCAGTTTAACTTTAAATATGAGAGGAATCAAATTGAACAGGGAAAACAAGTTTTTTTTTTTTCTCATTTAGATTTTAAGTAACTGGAGAGAAGAACGATACCAGGATGACATAAAAGCTCGGCAGATGATGCACGAGGCACTGCAGCTCCGCCTAAATTTGGTAAGCGACTCTTCTGGCGTTTTCCCTCCATTAAACTTAGCTAAATGTGACAATAATTCCAGCTCTCCACTCTTCTCCTACCGTGGTCACAGTCCCTGTTACAAGGGGAGGCCTGCTCTTCGCTCTCTTTTCTACTTCCCTGTCTCTCTAACCTTGCATCTTCCCGGCCTCTGTCCTTCCTGTCTGGTCTGGCTTCTAGACAGCAGGAGGTGTTTTAGGCATTGGTCTGCTTCCTGCACCGCACGCCTAGGGACCTCTCTCATTCTTTTTCATTTGTGCCAAGATTAGGTCTTAGAGGACTACTGATTTGAGATGAGTGTAAACTTTCACTATGCTTATTTTAAAACTGTATTAAAATGTCCTTTAAGTCAAAATGTTATCAAGCTTTCCATCAAATTGATCATAAAGACAAATCCTATAGGGAGGTTTCACAGAAATTTAAGACTCCTTGCCCATTGCACATTCCTTGGAATTTTTCTTTTATCACTGCACAAACCCAAATAAAAGCTACTCTGGATGATGGCTTGCCTGGTATTTGATATTAATTCCCACATGTGAACGAGCAGACCTGGGGGCAAGCCTCCTGCTCATCATTACTTCTGTGTTACAGGATATGCCTAAGTGTTACTATGGCAACAGGCTTAGATTCAGTAGTAATTGACAATGCAAAGTTGCAGATAAATCAGATTTCCCGGTTTTGACCTATTCAGATTTAACTAGACTGAAATGGTACATCATGAAACTGGGTATTATGAAAGTTTAGGAACAAAAAAAGAGCTGGTTATACTAGCAAATAATTCATACTAATGATGTGTCCACACTCAGGTATCCCTCCCCACCCTTTTTTTTTGAATGACCAATTCCTGTGCTGATGATACTAGAAATAGTGACAAACTTTTGGCTGCACAAATTGATGGAGGTAGTATTTTCCCTGTAACACTATGCAGATTTTGTCACCGTGTTTTTTATGTTCTAGGTGGGAGGAATGTTTGACACGGTGCAGAGGAGCACGCAGTGGACAACAGACTGGGCCCTCCTCCTCCTTCAGATCATTACTTCTGGAACTGTTGACATGCACACTAACAAGTATGTTCTTACCACTTCACGTGGACTTTGCTGCATGCGTGCATGGTGGAAGTCTTCCACACCTTATATTCTTGGGTACCTTAAAAAAAAATCCTGTGCCTTAACTGTCAGGTATAAAATAAGCTACAAGGATGTATTGTACAACATGGGGAGTATAGCCAATATTTTATAATAACTATAAATGGAGTATAACCTTTAAAAATTTGTGAATCCCTGTATTGTGTACCTGTAACATATAATATTGTACGGCAACTAAACTTCAATTTAAAACATACAATATTTTAAAATAAATACATTTAAAAAAAAAGAAAACTTAAAAAAAATTCTATGCCTTAAATTGGAAAGTTCAATTAGTTAAGAATGTCTTAGTTTTGCTTTAAGGTGAAAACATTTTCTTTCTCCTCTTAGTGAATTATTCACAACAGTTCTTGACATGCTGGGTGTTTTAATCAATGGAACACTGGCCTCTGACCTATCAAATGCATCCCCAGGGGGTTCTGAAGAGAACAAACGTGCATACATGAACCTAGTAAAGAAACTGAAAGTAAGTTTGTGACCTGCCTGTACTATGAGCTCATACTATTTGTGGATTTATTATTTAGTGCATGTTATTTTATTACTCCTTAAATTAGATGTTATTTATTGCATTCAACTTAATGTAATGTGACTGTTTTGCCATTGGCTTTACCTTGGCTTCCCAGTACCCGAAAGTTGTAAGTATATGTAGCTTGAAGATTTTTCATAAAAAATCATACTCATAAAACATTTAATTTCTTAAGGAACTTTAGAAATCCAGTATCAAATATATAACCAAAATGCCAACATTAGATTGAGGAATAATTTGACCTTCGACTGGCAACATGCAGTTGAAAAATAAACATTTGCACTGATTATTTCTAAATTCAATTCATTTAACTAGGCATTAACGCAATCTTTGAAATAAACTGTAAACAAACAATGCCAGAAAAAAAAAATCAGCATGTCCAACAACCTTACTAACAAAATAGCCAGTGGTTACCTTGTGGTCTGACCCTGGATTGGAGGACGTGTTCCGAGCTGCAGCTCCTGCCTTCTGATTGCAAATACTACTCTGGATTTTTATCGTTTCAGCACAGTGATGTTTATTGTGTAACGAGTGTGCCTGTATATGTGGTCTATTTTCTACTTAAATAAGAGAAATGAAACATACTACTCTCAATGAGAGCTGCCCCATAGACCAAATTCAAGGTTAAAGAACATTCCAGCTGTAAAAAAGGAAATGTTTCATAGAGGAACTTCCTTCTTAGCTTTTGCCTTCATTGTCACTTCTGGCCCACTTCTCTCTCTCTCTCTCTCTTTTTTTTTTTAGAAAGAGCTGGGAGACAAACGATCAGAAAGTATTGACAAAGTTCGACAGTTGCTACCTTTGCCAAAACAGACATGTGATGTCATCACCTGTGAACCTATGGGTTCCTTGATTGACACAAAGGGAAACAAAATTGCTGGATTCGACTCTATAGATAAAAAACAGGCAAGAGTAAATGTTTGTTTCTCATGTATATATATAAATACATGAACAAAAGCAAACTACGTTTTCTTGTCTTCCTAGATGGCATGTAAAACATGTTAATTTTATTGTTTCTTAATTTTTTAAAACATAGTCTTGTCATTTAAATGCAGTGGTTCTTGACATTATCATACAGACAGGCCAAATCTTTGAAGATCTTCATTTATAACTGTTCTGAATTTAAGTGAATTTCTGAAGCCCATCAAGGGAAAACTAAATGAAAGCTTAGTGTAAAAAAAAGAAAAAATAGGAAAGGTCAGGTTTGATTTTACTGCAGAATTGGAAACAGAATACCTTTAGTAGATGATAAAAATTTTATTGATGATAGTCTTCGTATAGTAAGCTATTTTGAGTCAACAAAATATTTTATAGTGACGACAGTTTATTTTCTTACTAATTTAACAATGTTTAATGAACACTTGTGTATATAAGATATTAAGCAAGTTTCTCTAAAATATGAGAAGAGTGGTCAGTTATTCTTTCCATGAACATGGAGCAACCATAGATTACTGAAATCACGGAGCTGAAAGAGTTCCTACCCTTCCTGCTTAGGGGGAAGCAGACAGATACAGTCGGTGAGATTTGTATGTCATGGAACAGAGGATGCGGGGACCCAGAGAGGGGGCCCGCACACGCAGGTGAGGGGTAGGTAGTCAGAGCCGGTTCCTCAAGAAAACTGACACTTGAATCATTTTGGAGGATTAAGAGTTAGCCAGGAGGTAGGGCACAGGGTGGTACAGGCACAGGGAAGCGTTTATGCTCGTGGGAGGAAAGCAGTTCTGCAGTAACTGGGGGCGCCCTGAGTGCTGATGCCTGCACGGCTGTAGAGAGAGGAAAAGCTGAAGTCACAGGCAAGTTGAGTTTGCCGTGCTGGTGGGCTCTCCAGTGGTGACGCATCTGGAAGCCATTTGGATATGTGCTCTTGGTCTAATGTCAGGGCAGGCAGTAGGTAACTGAGTCTCGGTGTTGGATGAAGCCACCCGAGGAAGAGCACCTGTAGTAGGAGTAGGAACATTGATGTGGAGTGCCTTGAGCAGGTATTTGCGGGGTCACTTTGAAGAAAAATATTTTCAAATTGGTGTACCAGGGTAAGTACCAAGGGACAGCACCAATTAATACCAAAAATAAGAAGCTTTTATTTTCAGAAACAGAATAGCACTTTGTCTTCTAACCTCAGCAGAGATAAGCTTGAATTGAAGGACTTTATTTGTACCTGTTGGTGCAGGTTAATTCTATACTAATATTACTGAACTGTTTAGAGACTGCCTGATCGAGTACACGAAAGGTGCCTGAATCAAGTCCACACGCTTTTGAAGTTAATTTGATCCCAATTAGAGGCTGAATATAACTTGACTCCTAAGTTTTGTTTTATCTTAAAAGCAATAAATAGATTCCAAAGGTTTATAGTTTACTACAGTAATTTTTTAGAAGTATTTAGCAGTATTTTTTTAGAATTAAAAAAAACTGAATGGGAAAAAAAATGCCATTCTACAGGAAAATATACTGGACTATCTGGTGTTCCAGCCTGAACAGAGTGTCATATGGTATAAAGAACCATAAAACCAGACTTGAAGGTCCAGATTCTAGCTGCTGCTCGCAGTGATCCCGTGTCAGCCCAGACTCATTAGCAAGCCCGTCTGCCGTGTGCTCGGTTCTCTGAGGCCCCCGCCAGCCAGAATGTCCTCTGGATCCATGTCTTAAGCAAGCCTGGCCTCTGAATCAGGGAAAGATCGGAGCATGTGGTCATGGCGTGTCATTTTACCACAGGGTCTCCAGGTCTCTACGAAGCAGAAAGTGTCCCCATGGGATTTGTTTGAGGGTCAGAAGAACCCTGCTCCTCTGTCCTGGGCCTGGTTCGGGACCGTCCGAGTGGACCGAAAGGTGGTCAAGTACGAGGAACAGCATCACCTCCTCCTGTATCACACACACCCCATGCCCAAGCCCCGGAGTTACTACCTCGAGCCACTGCCCCTGCCTCCCGAGGAGGAAGAGGAAGAGCCCACATCTCCCATCTCTCAGGAACCCGAGAGGAAATCAGCTGAGCTGTCAGATCAGGGAAAAACCGCAGCCGATGAAGAGAAGAAAACAAAGGGAAGGAAGCGCAAGACGAAACCCAGCTCGCGAGCTGATGTGAGTAGGGGAAGCAGAGAGATCTCGGGCATGTTAGCGTCTCGTTGAAGGTTTGCTAGTTCCTGAATTCTATCCCTAGAAACATTCCCAAGATTAGTATAAGCCCGTTTGTAACAGTTACCCTGACAAGGCTCAGGGGTAATTGATGGAGCGGCACACAAATGGTGACTTGGCACAGACGACAGGATCCTAGCTTTTGATTTTTCCTCCTCAACTTTTTATAACTTTGTTTTATTTTAGGCTTTGATTGTGAATAATATTCATTTAATTTTCAGTGCCTCACAGTTTCTCAGATTTGAAACTTGAAATTTTTTGGCCTATAACATCTCTTCCTCTTACATATTTTTATTGAGGCATGTCTAAAATATTTTTTTTTGTATTTTGAGCAGTTGATACCTGTAGTGAATTAACATAAAAACTCTGTTTGCTTTCCTTAGATAAAACTGCATCTAATACATCCAGTAGGATGTTTCTGAGATTTCATAGTTTACCATTCCTCTTACTCTCCTGTATATTCTGTTTCTTTACCACATATTTTCCGAATTTATATGATATAAAATAAACATAATTTAAAATGGTTTTGTTTTTGTTTTCCTGTTAGCCTTCCCTACCTAGAGCAACATTTTCTTGAAAACAACAGAAATCCATGAGATGATAATTTAGATATAATTTTATAGAACTAATGTGTAAAATATCTTCCCATTTAAATTCACCTCAAAAATACTCAAGAGGGAATTTGAGACATTTTTCTATAAAATTCAAGGGTATTCTTATTACACAGATGAAAAAATATTCATAATTTGGTGTTCAAACATCATGACTAATTATTGTTCACCTACGTCAAAACCAAAACATCTTTCCTAGCTGGTAGCTTGATGATTAATATTATTCTAGAAATGACTACCATCACTTTTGGATGCCACTGAAACATCAGTGCCCCCTTCTTGTATAGCCTTCCTGCCGTTAGTTCTGTGTCTTGAAAAAGATGCTTGGTAAGATCAGACTGCCACTCCCCCACATCTGGGTCTCCTATCCTGCATGTTCACATGGATGGGTTTCTGTTCTTTTCAGATGCTTTGAAAGACCTAAAACTCCTCTCACTCCCCATGTGGGTCCTGGTCCCGTCCCTTTCTCCCACACTTCTCCTGGAGCTGCCTCTTTCCAATGGGCTGTATTACAGAGAACTGAGATTTTATTTTTCCTTCATCCTTCAGGACTAGACGAGAGCAGGAGGGACTTGAGTCGGGGAATTGAGGTCTTCGGGGGGTGATCCTTAGAGACTTTGCAGCTACTGTAAGGAAGAGAAAGCCCTGGGCAAGCGGTGTGGTGAGGGGCGGAGGGGGACTGCACCGAGAGCTGTCTGCTTTAGAGAGCCATCTGGAAAACTGCAACTAAGACCAGAGACTGGCTTTAAAGAATCGTGGGCCTTTCTGGCATAATTCTCGTCCAGGTCCAAGGTATCAGGAAAGCCTTCCAAGATGAAGTGATCAGGGGACTCAGCAACCGAAGTTGCTTTTACAGCTGTGGGTGATGGTCAGTATGGGTATTCTAAATGTGCTGTTAGTATTTTAAAAACAGGGTTCAGGAAAGATCCCTTTCCATCTTCCCCCAATGTAGCCAAGTAGATTTTAAGTCCAGGTTTTAACTTAAATGAGTGTTTTGCAGAGAATATATTGAGACTCTTGCCTTCTGTTTTCCCCTTTGTCAAAATAGCCTTGTCCGCTGGGGTAGGGGGCTCTCTCAGATAATGTGATCAGAAGAGTTTGCATTAATTACATACGTGGTATGTGGAGTTAAGTCACTTTTTTTTTTTAACTTCATGTTGAAGGAGTATCCGCAGAGCAGCATATACCGAGTGCCTCCCAATTACTCACCTGTCTCCTCCCAGATGGTGCACCACCCGCAGTCTGCCTTGTGGGGCTACAGCCTCATGGGGCAGCCCCAGCAGCCCGGCTTTTTCCTTCAGAACCAGTCTCTTACTGCAGGTATGTGAAGAGAGAGTGAAGTCAGGTGTCTCTGAGATCAGAGATAGCTTGGGGTTCTCTTTGCTATTAAACTGAAACCTCCACAAAACTTGCCGATTTCTAGAACTCAGTGCTCAGTGCACATTTCTGGAATTCTCGCTGCTCAAGATGCTTTCTTCCTCTTCTAAAATAAGGTTTCAAGTTACGAGTTGAGGTGCCGACTTTGGAATTTTCATCCGGTGTTGGAAGGAAATTAGCCATTGATGAAAAATCTAAGTTACAAAATATAAAATCACTAGAAGTTTTAGGTTGTGAAATTCATGTACACTTTTATCAGATGTAATTCTCATCAGCGCTTTAAAAGATTAGACAGTATTGCAGTGTCTTTTATTGTTTCCTCATGTGATGAATTTTGAATTGCTTATACCGTGAAGGATCTCAGAAATTTGGTTCAACAAATAGATTTAGATGTCAATAAGAAAAACAGCCGTATCCACAGTAAATGTTAGTACTGCTTTGAAATTTTTTAAAAAAATCTCTTAATTAGCAGTGAATTTCATTTTTTTCTGAATGAAAGTGTGACTGTTTTTACAAAACAATTGATTTTGAGATCTCAGTCTGCATTTTGTTAGGATGTGCCATTCGAACAAATAATACTTTTCCTTGCTGTATTCTGTG